TTTTTTTTTTACTTTTTTTTTTACCTTTCATCAACACATCTTTCGCGAGCAACATGAGACGTATGTTCATCAGTTAATGTCATCCATCTATCTGCGCTCAACTTATTTTGCTGTGTTCCACTATTCAAAAATCCTCCTGGTTTTATTATTTATTTATTTTCTTTTTGTATTAAATTATTTATTTGTTTATTTTACTGGGTTTTTTTTTTATTCAGAATTTGAAAGAAAATTAGCTAACAAAAAAAAAAAAAAAAACGTGAGATACCGGAAACTATTGTTTTTGTTAATCGGTCTGTATATAAAGTTAATTTTTTTTAGCCAAAATTGGTCAACAAACTAAAATAATTATCAACATCGAAAAGTCTGTGACTCATATTTTTTTTCCAGTAATTTTTAAATAAATAAATTATGTATAATTATTTGCTGAAAAACAGGCTGTCGAAAAGAATTGAGCAACACAGACAACAAACTGTTTACATTTAAATTTCAACTGAGGTTTTTAGTTTGTCACTGTTAGCTGAAACTTATTGTAAATAGTAACAAAAAAAAATTTATTATTACAACTTTTTCTTTTTTTTTTTTTTAAAAAAAAAGAACGATAACAGTTATAAACGACTTATAAAAACCTACAAATAATGATCTACGGTTGATGATTGTCGGTCAAAATATTTTTAGTTTTTAGGTTTATCATGAATAGCAGCAAGTGCTGGCTTATAATCACTCTAAGCATAATGATAAATCGTATCGATATAAATGCCCAACTTCAAGCGATGCCTTTAATGCCTGCTAACACAGATCTTCTAATGTCCACTCAACGGTCAATCCTTTTTTTAGCCAAAATTATAGATTGAAAAAAAAACGATGCAAATTTATTATTGATGTTGAAACGTACAAATCAATTACGAGTTGAAAAACTTATATCACCAAGCAAAAAAACATGATTAAAGCCAAAACAAATAAAAAATTTCTGCTTTTTTCTTCCGGATTATCATGCATTTTATTACGCACAGAAAGCTGTTTTCAAATCTGTTTTAGGACCTCGTTTCAATCACCAGTTGCTCAGCCTAACGACTATAGGCTGTACAATTATGCGAATATGGTAACAGGGGGAACACCAACATCATGGTATTTTTCATCTAATCCCCTTCAGTCAATCACCTACGAAGTCGATAATGCACCGTTGATATGGATGATAAACCAGCTTCAGGATCAACAAAATTTACTCTCTGTTAATGCTCTAACTTTGTCTACCACTTCTGCCCCAACGACTCCAAAATTATTCACCGATTTTATCCAAGTTGAAGCAAATAAAAAAATTTATGGACTGTCATCGAAAATAAAGGATATGCCATTAGACTACAAAAACAATCCAAAACCAGTACCATGTTTGTAAAATACAATTACTTTTTTACTTGTATTTTACCAAAAAAAATCTTCACTTTACTTTATTTTTATCAGTAATACATTAAAGCAAAAAAAAATTTTGTGACCAACTTTTTCTTGTTTCAGTAATACCGATAACAGTTCAAGATCGATCAGATCGAGATGCTCAAGATCAATTTGTTATGGCTTTAACACTCCAGGAACAAAAGAGAAATTTACCGATAATGCATAAGACAAGTCTGCGGAAGCAAACAAAAATTTATGAAGGTCATGACATTAAAAAACTGTTGTCTTTTTGTCATGGTTGTGCAGAAATACAGTTTGATTAGTACCCAGAACTTTCTGAAAACGAC